GAAGAAGAAGAAGAAGAAGAAGAAGAAGAAGAAGAAGAAGAAGAAGAAGAAGATTCGAACCCCACTCCAAATTAACACTATCACATTAATATTTTGCGTTTGTTCAAGCAATTATAACCGACAGAAGCACAGCCACTGACAGTCGAAGTGAAAGTGCGGTCAAGGTAAATCAGCCAACGCTCAAAAGGAAATAATACGGAGCGGGGAATTTTATTATGTTCACTATCCCAAAACCAGTGAACCAAAACGTATTACATGTAGGCAACCAGCAAGGACTTTGGAATGGAATTCTATTTACAGCTTTCTTGATCACCAGTTCTTTTCATATTCTTCTCTCCCCCCCCCAAAAAAAAAAAAAAAAAATTCCTCTTTTAAAAAAATAACATTGTTGACCAATAAGATACAACTATTGTTACGGATACACTCTGCATTCAAAGTGGAGTGTTAGCCCCAAAGTAACATAATTTAGTTTGGTTTAGAGTAAAATCTGGGAACCGACAAACGGAAATGAGAAGTAAGGTAGTTTACCTGTTTTCGAAAGACAAGAGAGTCACACACAACAGCACAGGTAACTTCCTTGAACTCAATAGTCAAGTGGAAAGTGCCGAGGAATAAGTCTAAATATGAGGTATTTCTTTCTACTTCTGTTGTATTATGTATTTTGGAATGAATTTTCACAAAGTGGTTTAGTTATCCTTCTATTCCTTGTCATGAACAACTTTTTGTTACAGTGCAACTGAAGCGAGACGAGTCTAGAATTCTTGTCGGGGAAGTCAAGTCGAAGAGGCAGGACTTCGCAACTTCATCAGATCTAGATTCTAGATCTAGAATATAGAAATCTATATCTAGATCTAGATCTAGATCTAATCTAGATTATTTCTAGATCTAATTGATTCTTAAACTTTATAATGGACTATGAACATATCGTTTCGATATATTAACAGGACATCAATGAAAATCAATTTAAGAGCAAAGAATATACTTAGAATACAGATGAAAAAGTTACGAGAAAGGCCAGCTCAATAACTTCTAGAATATTATTTAGCCTAACTTAGGCTGCCAACTATTCGGACTCGAGTCTGATTAGATTTTTTATCTATTCATATTCGTCCGAATATGGGTTTTATCTATTCGGACTCAGGTCCGAAAAAAATGTATTTTTTATTCGGACTCGGCTTCTAAGTGAGTTATGTGAGTGTAAGGGGAGGTTACATTTATAGATGTAGGCCTAACTGTCGGCGAGGGATTTTACGTAAAACTAGAGTTAGAATCTAGATTTAGAACTAGAATTACCAACTAAGATTGTGTAATTGTATCAAAAGTAAAAAGACTGCACTCTCATTGCCCAATGGCAGTGTCCAAGTACACGGTAACTGACAGCTCAGACTCAGGTTCTTTCCATCGCCACTACAGCATCACATCATAACTTCCACCACCATTTGTCTTTCCGCATGTTTTTAATTTAATTTTGTTATGTGTTTATAGTTTTTCTGTAATAAAAAAAAAAATCACATCGCACAAAATCGACTTCCACGGCCTCTTCCCAACACCTCTTCCCAACACCTCTTCCCCCCAGCAAGCCGAGAGTGTGTGATCGCTACGCACAATCTCATCGGTCGTCATTATTAACTTTGCTGGCAAGGTCAACTCAACTTGTTCTGTTCGTACTAATGATGAAGAGAGGGCAGATCTAAGACCAAGTAACTGGATATTAAAGCTCACGTCTCGATTGTTATCATTATAATGGAAAAAATTTTCATAAATGCTGGAAATAATTAGGAACAAGGGTCGGAAGTCAGAACGGAGGTCAAGCTGGACTCATTTCAGAGTCCGAATATTATCTAATTGGACTCGAGTCCGAATAGTCACTTCGTGTGAGAAAACTTTTACTCACTATTTTGTGGTGGCTATCATCGGTTCAAGTCTTCTAGATCTAGATCTAGATCTAGTGGTAGGCCCTATTCTCAATCTGGCACTAAAATATTTAGTTGTAAATTTTGAGTTGGTTTGCTGTATTCAAGTTAACATTTCAGGCCTGGACCCAACTCAAAACGAAGCCGGAACTACTTTTGAGCCTTGCTGTGCAATGCCATACAAGAATGGTCCCCTCTTATGCTATTGTTTTGCATTTATGTGTGTGTTTTTAAAATTTATTATTGTTGCAAGGGGCTGTTGTACTATTTTGCTCACAACTACCAGGGGTAAGCCCCCTTGAAAACCCCCACTGTTGTATGGCTATTTAATACATGTAAACTTGGTGGGTCCACCAAAGTTAAAATTAAATCCGGCCGGTCTACATTCGGCTAAGATTCTGCATTTTAGATTATAATTTATGAAAAAAATAACCCGATGGGCACAGTTGTTCAACCAAAAATAGAAAGTTGAGATCATTGAAATGCCCGTTTCGTCACAGATCAACCACTTTTGTGAATGTGATCATATGTGCTTTGTAAGTCTTGATGAAATGGTACAATATATGCCCTGACGGGATCTCCTCCTAAACTTGCATCGCTCGCTGTGTGGGTAGGGCCTACAAGTTCGCTCCAAACGGGGTCACATTGAACTGTGAACTCTTCCCTGACCATTGCAGCAGTTGTCTCTACTCTCGAATTTGCGAGACGGACTGAATTTTAATTGATGTGGTCATAATATAATGGTGTGTTACGACAAAGGGGGGAGAACTTGGTCGGAGATGGAAAGCTATAAATTTAGACAGGTAAAGGGAAAGGGCAACTGGAGAAAAATCTGGTGATGAATGACTAAACTCTTTAGAAGGGACAGGGGATTGGAACCCGTTTCTAAATTCTGTCCTTTATTTATTCTTTTTTCAGGACTGACTTCCTTTACTTTCCCCTTAAATTTGAATTTAATATAAAACATCGTTTTACCTCATAGTTTGGTGAAAGCTTGAAAGACCATTGTGAGTTTTATATAATTACTTTCTCATTTGAATTCTAATTGCTTTTAATTTCTTCCTACAGATGAAAAGATTGGAGTAATGAGTGACTGTGATTCAAGAGTAAGATGTCGAAGCTTAAAGTTCGAAATTTGTTCAGGAGCAAATTTCCTCGCACCAAAAGTACCTCTGAAGTGAGTAGAAAAAAACCCTATTACTTTCCTTTCTTTTCAGAACAAGCATCATGTGACAATATTCATTTACCTTGTTACACCATTATAAAATACACACCGCTGCTACTTATGAATTTTCTTTTTTTTCTGGTATGATAATAAGGACTTGGTCAAAATTGAAGCCCATACATATATATATTAATTGCCATTTAGTTGTTTGAAATATTATCTCTGTCAGTTGTTGTTTTAAGGGAATTTATTTTTTTTACATTTGTGAGTAGAATTTATGACTTGTCTCTTATAGCTTCATTTATAAAATGATGAGTTGATTATCTGCTTTGCCTTTGTTCAAAAGAGAGTAATATACTGTCAAACCCGCCTTAGCAGTCACCTCTCCATAATTGTCACCTGTACTAATGACCACTTTTTGTGATACCCTTGTGTTGTTCCTATTACTATTAGGGGTCCCTTCCAACACAGCCATCACCAGTCTGCAAAAGTTTTCTGCCAGCCCGTCCTCAGACTGAGTGTTAATATTCAGTCAGTTCAAAGAAACTCTTATGATATATATATGATGCTTTTGATGGACTTGAAATGGAAAAACAGATTAAGATTTCAGATTTTTAGCCATTTATTGGCTTTCTAAATCTAGTAACTGACGATTATTCAGATTCTGTTCATAGTGAGCCTATTGCCCATAGCTGGTCGATAAAGGTCACTTTCTCTGTGATCTTTAGTGACTGTTATGGACAGGTTTGAAAGAGTGCTTTTTATTTTGCTATTGCAATGTAAAGAGAATGAGTTCTTGTTCTGTTTGCAAGTTGCCTTGTGATTGTGTAGTCCAACACAGTTTTCTGAGACAAGATCAGAGACCCTATTTTCAGTTTCATCTTTTGGCTAACAAATTTACATCATCATACATATAAAAGCTCATTTTTAAATCATTTTTATTCGGACTGATTACAGTTTCTGATCATTCATGAATTTTGCAGCTTGCCGAGTGGACAAAAAGTGATGAAAAATTAATGAAAGCAGTTGAAAATGGAGATGTTAAGAAAGTCACATCTCTTCTTGCCAAAAAATCTTTGGTGCCGACAAAATTGGGGCCTCTTGGAAGATCTGTGTAAGTACTTTGTATATGTTTGTCATTTTGTTAAAGAATTTTGCTTGCATGTGAATCTAATGTTCAATAAGTATTAAGAAAAAAATAATGTGTAAAATGTGTTGGGGCTTTTATGTTGTAAATTTGGCACTCTACATAACGGAGTGCTATTGTATTTTGTTTTTGTTTTGATCCAGCAGCACTTCTGCCCTTTGATTTGTTGCTTTGAAAATTACTAAATTGGTAGTTTTCTTCAGCTACTTAATTGTTCTATAAGGTGCTGTGCAGTAACAGAATTTTGTCAACTTATAAAAGCGATATATTTTCTGTTGTTTTTGACATTCAGTAAGTTCTGGGTACAATTACTAGATCAGCTCCTTTCCAACAAGATGTGCAACCCCTTCAGTGGTTTAATAGCTGTTGTGAATTTTCATGTGAATTAAAAAGTTCCGACTCATGTTCTTCTGTTGTAAATTTTGTTTTTGTTCTTGTTTTGGGTCTATTCCTTGTACAGATTTCACATTGCTTGTGCCCTTGGCAATGACCGAATCGTTGACCTACTTCTGAAATCGACAGAAGATGTGAATGATCTCACTATTCAGGGTACGGTACTTGTTTTTAGGAACAACTTTTTTTCAGCTCGTAACTTAGACCATAAAGGAATGTGTATTAAATGATTAAATTAATAAAAATTCCTTTTTTTTACATTGATAAGTGCAGCCTAGTGATTGCTTCATGACTTCTGAAATAGGTCTAACAAAAATCCTTCTATCAGAATAATAAATTGATCCATGTCTGAAATTCAATTTTTAAAAAAAAGATAATTGTTTCTTTTGATAAATGTATTTTTCTTGTATAATAGTCATTCATAGCCTTGCTTATTTGTAAATGAAAGGCAGTGCTGTATTGAGTACTTTATATAGGTTAAAAACTTTGGTTCCTTTTGTCTTATTTAGGATAGTCAGCACAAGTAACAATACACTGTGCAAGAGTTGTCATGAGAAAGGACTTGATGATCTTATGAGATAATTAAACGTCATGTGAAGTAAAACTTAAGAAGATTTGTTTAACAACACTTTGTTTATGTCCACGATTTCAGGAAATTCTCCGTTACAGCTATCAGCTGCCAAAGGTCATTCTGCTGTCGTTGATCGCTTGCTCAAGGTTAGTGGTCAGATTGCCATATTCAGAAGGAGGAGAATCAAACAATACTGCTCCACATAAAGAGATGTTCTCTTGTAGTTTTTTTCTTCTTTCCTTAATGTGAACCATTCACCATTCTTGAAATACTGTAGTAGATGGTGGTGTGCTATTAACAGAAAATAAGTAAATATTCTTCACAGGTAGGGCTTACTCTTGGACAGATCTATTTTATTCTCAGAAGGAAAATTAGCATTATTTGACATAAAATGTTGTGTTTTTTCTCTGACTGATCAAAAGAGAACTACATTAATATTAAAGTAACCACTGTTAAATAATGTTTAGGTCTAGTAAGAGTGAATTTGCTTTTTTTTTTGGTTCTAATGTGTTATTTCCATTAATTATTGAAGCCTCTTCTATTCACCTTTCTAGGCGTCAGCTGATGTGGATCTACGTGACAGCAATGACATGACAGCTCTTCATCACGCGTGTGCAGGGCAGCATCTGGAGGTTGTCAATGTATTGTTACAAGGACATGCAAGTCCACACTTAACTGAAAAGGTTAGGTTCTTAGATACACGCACAGTCTGACCTGCTCTAAAGGCCACCTATGTAGGACAATCACCTGTACAAATGACCACTTCCTATGTCCCGCCTTGCGTATATTCTACATTATAATGATACTGTGTAAGACAGTCACCTGTCTTATATGGCTACTTTTCTCCTCGACAGTGGGTGGCTGTCACAGACAATTTCGACTAAATTATAAATGTGTTAGTTGTGCTTCGATATTTTGGTAATCTGTATGTTACTAATGCATTGACATTTGTGTATTAGGACATAACAGAGTCTGTGTTTAATTTTTAATGGCATTGTTTAATTTATTTATTTTGCTTGTTTTAGGGTGGAAAGACACCCCTGTTCTACTCAGCTCACCGAGGAAGGGATGAGATATGCAAGTTGTTACTGGATAAAGGAGCAGAAATCAATTGCCAAGACATTCTTAGTGTGTAAGTAAAAGGATTTTATTCCAGGCAGTGATTTTTTCTCTTGCACATGACTCTGTTTGATATGTCTTTAACTCCTCGCATGGCTGCAAGTATGCAAATGAGGAAATTTTTAGCCCATTTGTTTGTCTCTCTTCACTGCCGAGTGACATCACACTTGGCAACTGTGTGATGAGTGGAAATTTCCCAGGTGTTTGCAGTTTGCAGGGCCTAAGTCTACAAATGTTATTATCAGTGTGTGTCCCTGTGTGGATTGAGATGGTGAATGGGACCGAACAGACCAGCCTTGTGATTTATTGAGAAGATATCTAGTCGTTCAGTTGGAAGGGGTACAGATTATTACTAGCTCTTTAACTTTGATTGTGTCTTTATATGTATGTGCACTCCTCTGACAAAATTTTTATTCTGTTCCTCTTTTAAGGACACCACTCATGATAGCTGCCAAAGAAGGCCACAGAAGAGTTTGTGAATTTTTGCTTCGGAGAGGGGCTAATGCAGATTTGAAAGACAGAGAAGGTTAGTAAAACAGTAAAAAGATCAGCGTTTCTCTTTTTGTTTAGATTGCTGTTTGGATGACGTCTTAATGTTTCTGAACCCAGTTTGTTGTATGTTTTTTTACGTATATCCTTTCCAAAAAATTGGTGACGTCTGTTTGGAGGTAGGCAGACACCTGTTGAATTATGTACAATAGGTTTAAAACACAAGTACAGTTAAAATACTATCTTGTATTTAGATTATTTTCTTTCGTTTTCTTTCTTTTCAATGTCTTTGTACTCAATCTTTCTCAAGCCATTGCAGTTAAAAAAAAAGATTTCTTGTATATAATTTCCTTGCTTGGGACATCAAAGTGATTTTTGTTGTACAATCTCAAACAATATTATCTAGAAGCTATGCTCCACTGATAACATTTTGCAGCCATATGCTTGTGGTCAGGTATCAGTCCACTGAAGAACAAGAGATAAGCTCACTGGGCTATTTCATTGAGCAGGATAAATGACGTCTCCTTCTCCCTACTTACCTCCCCTCTGGCTGATAAGCTTTTGGTCAGTTTCCAAATTGTGAAGGTGATGTAGACTGTGTAAATATTGCTGTGCAGCCAGTGTTTAGTCTCCCCAAGCTCTTTCTCCAACCTGTTTGTGGTACACTGGCTTTAAACTTGTTGGAGATATAAAGTTAAGATTTTCTTTTAAATTGTGCCCTTGTCTTTTCATTTATGGTAAGTGTTATGTGTTTGATATATTTCAGAATGGTTTATTTGGGAGGTTGTGTTACATCTGTTTATCTGTAGCAGCAAGACTTACTCTCTTTGAAAGGAAAATATAGAGATTTCATAATGCTGTTTACTCCCCCAAATCTAGATATGTCTTTAGTAAGATCAAAAGGCTCCTCATGTCCTTTGCGTTAGAAGAGAGCTTGAGAGCAATTGTTGTTGCACACTTTTGAACCAAACGGCTGTATTGTTTATGTTTTTGTTTTTTTAGCTGTGACTGAGCACTTCACTTGCTCTGAATGACAAAACAAAAACAATGCGTCAGTAACTTGAACTGTTTGGTTTGAAAATCATAATGTCTTTATATTTCTGCTTCCAGTGTTTCCTGCAGATGTTAAAAGGTGCTTTCATGACATCTGCTCTTTTTGTTTAACTCAAGTGCTTTTCTGGCTGTGATTTATTCTGGGTGGAATATGGCCATATAGCGCTTTCTCAGTGTAGATTACAACTCGAAGGTGGTTTGCGGGTGCTCTGGTGTGGTTTGCTTCTTCTTTCTTATCTAACATCTATCATCCTTATTGCTTCTCCTTCTTTTTTTTTGTATGTTGCTCTCTAGAAACACCTTTAATCTTCGACACGTATATGACGTATTTGTGTTGCAAGTTGCTTAAAACTCTTCCTAAAAGTAGAACTAAAACTAATATGTTCTTGGTGAAATATGGCAGTTATTGTGCTTTCTCACTGTTAATTACAACTGTTCTCACTTCCAACTCAAGTATGGTGGTTGGCGGGTGCTCTGGTGTGGTTTGCTTCTTCTTTCCTATCAAACGTCTATCGTCCTGATCTCCCCTTCTTCTTTTTTATGTTGTTACTCTCTTGTAACACCTCTAATCTTCTGGCGCTCATATGTCCTTATGCAGTTTCGAGCGCCGTAAAACCTCTACTAAAAAAAACAACTAAAGTATGCTGTTTTCCAGTTAAATAACTGATGACCCAGATACCTGTATGTCATCCTCTAACACCCATTCCCCACGGAAGGTTTGAGTTCCAAGAACGTATTTTCATTTCCAGGCCACAGTGCTTTGAACTACGCTATAGCAGCAGGGCATGGGGAACTTCACGAAGTGTTTGACCGTCCTCCAGTCCGTGTGTTTGTAGATGACCCACCAAGTCCAGCCTCAGGTAGGACAAGGCTGGACAATTTTACTATAAATAATGTAAAGTAAAGTTGTTCCCGCATCCGGTCCGGATATTGGGGATTGCCTTTTTAGTGATACAACTTCCTGGGCCTTCGGCATATTGTGGTAGGGTGTTTTTTCCCCAGAAATTGTGTTTGAAGATGTCTTACAAAGGGATTAGTAGGCCTACAGTTTGCATTCCCCTTGACTGTCACTGATTGATAATCAAGCTTGTTCATAAAAAAATGTAAGCTTCTCAGTTTAAATGGGGAGTTATAATTTTTCTAGTTGTATTCATGAGGGTCATTTTTGACTGCTTGAAAAACTCTTACTAAAGCCATAACTAATCTGTTTCTGGTGAAATATGGATGTTATTGAAATGTTGTTTTTGTGGGTTGCACAGAATTTGATTCTGTGGCATGGGATAATTTTTCAAATGAATAACGTTTTGTTGTCTACTTCTTTCTCAAGTCCAAAATCATCCAGAAAGTCATCTGCAGAGTGATTTTGGCTTGAGGATAAGTGTTGAGCCCCATGCAGCATATGATGATGGGGTGAGTGATTTGTCAGCCTCCCTTGTCCTCCCTGTGTATTAGGTTATTTCGTATTTATGACGTCAAAAGTGATTCAAAGAGATCTGTCCCCCCCCCCGGGGCAGTGCCATTGACTGAAGTGTCTTTGGGCCATTCCCAGAGGGGGGACATTTCTCGTTCAAGCACAGTAGAATTGTAAATGGGCTGATTCATGTCACGCTCATAACTGTGCCTGATCTACAACAGGGAACTGCTGCTCTTTCTTTCCTGATCCTTACTATTGTCATTTCCCTCTGCGTCTTTTTTATGTTTGTCACTCTCTTGTGACCTGCTATTTTGAGGTGCCTTGATAGTCGAAGCAGACCTTGTGCTGTTGAAGCTAGAGAGGTGAGCAGTCTAAGTCTGATTCCCTGTAAAGACTTTTCTGTTGACACCCACCCCTTGGAGCTCATATGACCTCATGCATTTGCGAGCGCCGTAAAACCCTCTACTATAAAAAAAAAGAGCTCTGTCTAAGCTGATCGACCCACTTGTGAATGCAAAGAGCTTAGCGGCAATGTTAACCACCCTGTTTCTTTGGATTTTCCCCAAAATACCTTTCCCTTTAATGGCAAGGGGTTTTTACTATATGAGCCTTGTGATGGTAAAGTGATAAAAGCTGTTATTGTACCCATTTCAGTAAAACATTTTCAACTTAATGAATCTCTCTATTGTTTTGTAAGTTTTCATGTGTAAGAGGTACTGAAATATGATTTTGTAAAGATCCTTTATACAAACATTGGGGTAGTGTACATTACATAAGTATTTCATGGCATTCTTTAAAAAGAAGTTAGTATGCATTTTCTTGTGTGCACTGTGTTCATAGTTTTCTTTTCCTTAAACTTTCATTAATCTAGTATGTGCTCTTGTTTCAGGTGGATCATCAAATAAATGAAACTCCAGTCGAAGATTATGTCACTGATGATGAGGTAATTTTTTGTTGTTGTGCAGAGTTGTATGTTATGATATCAGTGTGGTGTATTGCTACCTGATAAGGGAATGTAAATTGCATGTCACTTAAAATTTTATTTAAAAAACCATCTTCATAAATGTCAGGAATTACTTTGTGATTAACAACAAATATTATTGGATATGAAAGATATGCTAAAAGAAGCAAGCAATAAAGACCTGAATGTAACATTTTTTGTTCGATGGGGGAAGAAGGGGGGGTGGGATATTTTACATGTCACTGAATAAAAATATGTGTCACGACGCGGTAGAATCAGGCTCTCGTCAGTTTTTGGCCTTGAAGAGTTATTGGTACCCTCTTGAAGCTTGTTCATTTGTCTTGCTTTGGATGAAAAAACCCCCCATCCATTTATCTTGAATAGAAGTCGAGATATTTGCGAAAGAAGGAGGTGGGGGTCACCTGATTTCAGAGGTAAAATTAGTGAGAAAATGGTCGACAAAGATGAGTTATTTCCTTAGCTTCAGAGTCTGTGAAAACTGAAAATTTATATTTTTTGTGCCTTTAATCAACATTTTTCAATAAAATCCACACCGACATGTGTTCTTTTATGTGCATGAAAGGTTTTGAGCCGAAAAACAGAAATTCGATAAAAATTTACAAACCTGTAGAAAAATGCCAATTTCTTCACTTTGATTTTTTTGACGAGCACCTGATTTCACCACACTGCCTCACATATGTATTCACATATTTGTCTATAAGATGAAATTTTGCTGGAGAGATAACAAAAGAACCAAGGCTATTTCGTGGTTTTCTGTTCTGAAATTAACCGGTATGCCTAAAAGTTAATGGCGTCCAGAGCAAGAACTAATCTGTTGATGCTTTCATCCAATGGTTTATGTGGCGACACACAGTTGAACCTGCTAAATTGGCCACTTAAGAAGGTCACTTGTATTGCCACTTTCTCTTCCCCCCCCTGTCTTGGCGTTTTTTTCTATATATTGTAAATGTGTAAAACGATACCCTGTCGCTCATATGACCTAATGCAGTTGCGAGCGCCATAAAACCTTACTATTGAGTGGTTGGTGGGTACTCTGGTGTGGTTTGTTTCTTCTTTCTTATCAAACATCTATCATCTTTATCTCTCCTTTTTTGTGTTTGTTACTCTCTTGTAACACCTCTAATCTTCGGCACTTATATGACCTTATTGTGTTGAAAGCGCCGTAAAACACTTACTTAAAAAAAAAAAACTTGACTAAAACAAACAAACAAACCTGTCTGAGATGGCCGTACGACTCTCTTATTCTTATCGGCTGGCGCGCTGCCATAAATTATACATCGCCTCCTGTTGCTGTGGAGGAGCCGTCATAATTTACTGACCTATCGTTATTGTAGTCAAACCCCCCCCCATGAGCTGACTGATCATGCTGCGACGTAGATTCCTCTCAAGTTTACCTACCAGGTACTATAAAAGAGAAAGAAATTTATTTTTACGATGGTAATTGCACGAGTCCCTCTTTTGATCAAAGGATATTAAGATTGCTTCTCTTGTTTCTGTTGCTGACTCTTGGATCTGAAATGCCTAGGCTTTTGAGAAAATTTAAGGTTCCATCTTGTAGACATGTATGCATTTCAAAACTGCACACACTCTTCATTTATGCCGTTTGATGCTTTGGTCACATGTAACATTGTTTCATTGAAAAAATAATGCACCATATTCACAGAGTAAATTGCAGTGATTTATGTTGGTACGAAGTT